TAAATATGTTAATGTTAAACAGAGGTTAGTTTGTCTCTGCAAACACACTCAAAAAAGTCGTGGGATTGCACTCCGGTTCTGATAGAGAGTCGGTATGTTTTCTTTTTACACCTTCACTAATTTAGGATAATTTAACTTAATTCAACACTTTTGATAACATGTAGGCCTATATTTTCTTCTTCAGAAAACTAGTAACCTGCCGTTTACATTACAAAAAACACACAAACAGTTGGAACATTAAATCGGGGGTGTTTTTTGAGAAACTTGATTACTTTAGAGTTATTTGTTACACTCATTAAAGACTATTACAATAAAATCACTAAATGTGCTCCAAAAACACCTTTAATAAACTTTAGACTCAGAAGTATTTTGAGACTTTAAATAGGCTTCTTAGGTGTTTTGGCTCCTCCACACATGTCTGACTAGGATTTTAACTCTATTTATTATTTAACACAGGTTAAAGGTGCTTGGTTTTCTTTCTCTCATGTATTTGTGTTCTGCATACTCTTAAAATAAAGCATTATCTTCTGACTGTTTATCACATATTCTCAAGGTCACGATGAATGACCAGCAGTTTCACCACAATACATTGTTTTTATTCAGAAATGTTAACAAAATAACATTAGAAATAAGAGACATTGCAGGACGAGAAGATGTATACTTTTCTGTATTTAGCCGACACATAACCTGAAAACCTTTTAAAATAACTTCATCTATGTATGTTTTAGTTTTTTGCCTTTAAATACTTCTTACATGAATCTTGTGACGCACCAACTTGAACACACCCGTAATTGGGTGGTCCGGGTCTTGAAACAGAGCCTCCTCCAGGCTTGATGCCTGAGTCCAAATCAATATCACCACAATAAACAATATTTATTTTTACATTCTGTTTTTGTCCATCTTATTCTATTTACATCTATATAGACTATTTCATTTCAACATAAAATGCACTATTTTATTCTTCTTCTTTTTGCACTATTTTAATTGAATTATTTATTTATTTTAATCAGTTTTATTGTCTTTTGTCCTATACAACTATGTTGCATTGTTGGAGGAGCCTGGGACTTAAGATTTGCATTGCCACGTCTACACTGTAGCTACTGTGCATATGACAATACATAATCAATGAAACTTGACCTTATTAATCTAAATGTATTTTGGGGTTAATTTTATATTCAAATTAAGTGAACGAATAATGGATCACGGAAATGTATCTCTCTAAATATTAGAGCTATAAACAGTATTTAAAGAATATAATTCAAACATGAAGAATTATGTTTGTATATTTTATTAAGTTGAGTTTTTAATCCTAAATATTTTTGTTTTTATTGAATGTAAATACAAATTATTATAATTACTGTTATATAACTATACTATTATGCCCACTGTTTCTAATTGTGGCTCTTGTACTATAGTGTTTGATGGTTTTAAATAAAGTGAGAAACGTTTTTGTCCATAAAATATAGTTTAGTTTTAAACAATATTCTTTCAAGATGTTAATATTTACATGCTTATCTAATCTTGAAATAGTGCTGTATAATAGCTTGTGCCATATATGTTTTAGAGCTTACTAAACTAACTCCTAACGGTATAAACAATGGTCACATTAAATAACTGCTAATTGGCTAAAAGATATTAACTTCATTAATATATGTACTAGATGTACCTCATTTCTTAAAATGCTTAATACAACATAAATAAAGAACTGTTAGAAAGACACGTGTGTTCATATTTATTCCACTACAATAGAGCCACTATTTTCGTTCTGCCTCCAAACATTAGTTGGTGAACACTGACACCTGGTGGATAAAGGCTGGAACTAAATATAACCTGTTTTTCATTTCAATGTGCGCGTGGGATAAAGATACCATCGAGAGCTTAAATGCTACGGTACGCTATTGATCGGTGAACTGCAGACACCTGCCAACAAGTAGCTACTGATAGTGTGAAACTGAGTTAAACACTAATGATGGGTCCAACAAACGCTGTGGCTTTATTTATGTGGACTGACAGATGTAGAGAAACCAAAGCGCTATTCATTTGAGAATGTGGTGATTAACCTGCTGGATGTACGAAGGACATTGTGAAGAGGAGTTTGCTTTAGTTGAAATAAGGCTTTATTTTAGAGAGGCTACCACCCTGCAATAGATGATATCATTAATAGTAATTTAGGGTTATGTTTCAATTGTATATTGCTCTATAATGTGGGTGTTTTAGTTGGGTGACTTGGTGTAACATGACATGTTGTGCACATCAATACATATAGGGCAAGGGGGAGAAATGTCTTTAGTTGGAAGTGGGTGGCTCTTAAAAGAGCCTTTGGGGTGTTGGTAGAAGCGGGTTTCAGGGTGTTCACTTCTTGGCGGGCTTCTCGGTCTTCTTGGGCAGCAGCACAGCCTGGATGTTGGGCAGCACCCCTCCCTGAGCGATGGTCACTCCTCCCAGCAGCTTGTTCAGCTCCTCGTCGTTGCGGACGGCGAGCTGCAGATGGCGGGGGATGATGCGGGACTTCTTGTTGTCCCGGGCGGCGTTTCCAGCCAGCTCCAGGATCTCAGCGGTCCAGGTACTCCAGCACAGCGGCCAGGTACACCGGGGCTCCGGCACCGACACGATGGGCTGTAGTCTAGTTGCCCTTCCTCAGATGCCTGTGGACACGGCCGACAGGGAACTGGAGCCCGGCCCGGGAGGAGCGAGTCTTAGCCTTCGCTCTAACCTTTCCTGCACCTTTTCCGCGACCAGACATTTTCTATGTGTTTATTCTTCGACGTTAAGAAGAAAGTAACTCGGTCAAAGTTCTCACCAGAGTATATATAGGAGCGCAGCTGTACGCTCATTGGTCAGATTGACCCGTAACTGTGATCGTCCAATCAGAAAACAGGTCTGTCTGCCGCCTGAATTCTTTTCAGAATGAGACGTTAAAGTTTACATTTGTATTTTCTGAAATAGTTTTCACCCGTTCAAAGATGAATATAAACTCCTGTAATTTAAGAAGCGAAAGTCTCAATGTGTGGAGAACATTAAGACATTCATAAAGGTGTCATACTTAATGTTTATTTACGGTGTGTAATTAACTTATTAAATAATATATTCCGTATTATAACTCAAATGACACACCCACCGAAATACATGCAGCTGTAACGTGGGCTAAACATTTAACGGAAACAAAATGATCACCAGTTTTAACTTATTTGTGTAGATTGTAATTTGTGTAATGTCTACTTTTGTTATCTTTAATATTTTGAGGACATCTCTTATTTCATATTATGATTATGTGTATTCATAAAGGTCTATAACGTATGTCTTCTCAAAATGTATATAGTTCTATTTTATTTTGCTAGGTATTCTTCATCCTGTGTATTTGTATGCACCAAATATACCAAATTTTTAGAAAACTTTATTTTATATTATTTGGTCAGTACATGATATACACAAGTTACATTAATAAAACACATAAAACACAATGAATAAGTATATAAATAACATAAAGAGAGCACGTTTATATTCCAATGAGACTCAGCTCGGTCACAGACTCAAAACGCCCCATGGCTGAGTCTGGGATTTGTCCAGGGTTTTTCTTCTCCTTAGTTCAGTAAGTATTTGTTTCACGATGGTGCCACTGTTTATGATCGTCTGATTTAGTACCATGTTGCACCTTGTCTTCCAGATCTTCATACATGTGATACAAATTACCAGCTGATTAGTCCCTGTGTTTATTGTCCATCCCCTCATCCAGAATACAATACATGATTGAGATATAATTTACATTGAAGTCTAACCCGATGCCCCGTAGGAGCGACCACACCTCCTGAGCTCTGTAGCAGTCCATGAGGAGGTGCTGGAGAGTCTCGTCCTCCTCACAGTTAATCATGGGGCATGTTCTAGTTTTCACATAGCAGCTCCATGAGACCACAGCTCTGACCGCAAGTCTGTTGACTGATATCAGCCACCTCACGTCTCTCATGCTCTCCGATAACTGTTACTTTTTACTAATTTCAAGACTTCGTTACCTTCGTCAGGTGTTAGGTTTTTGTACGCTATAACACCTCCATATTTGAAATCGATTATCATTTTAAAAATTACTCTATTCGGTAGTCCGATCCAATCAATCTCTAAATGCTGAACTTCAGTTGTGAAGTCACCATAAAGTAACTTGTGGTCCATTTCTAGCTCTTCTTTTCTTCCATCCCATTCCTCCATCCTCAACCCAAGGTGCTTTCCTATCGATTGCAGCAGAGATGTTTTTTACAAAGGTGATGTTTAGTTGAACGCCCAGGTCTATGGCTCCCAGGCCTCCATATTCCCTACTCTTAAATAACACATTACGTTTAGCAACCTCCCTTGTTGTACCCCACACCAAATTGACACACTGTTTGTTTAATTGCATCATTATTTGGGCTGGTGGGGGGAAGATGTTTGCTAGAAAAAGGATCTTGCTAAGTATGAATGATTTTATTATGTTTATTCTTGATTTCTAATTTGTATTTTTATTCTCCCAGTGTTTAACTTGTTCTTTGACTTCACTTAGTTTCTTCTCCCAATTGAGTTCAGCCACAGTTGTCGCTACAAATAGTTTATTCCAAGTATTTTAATTTCTTTTTTCACGTGAATGTTAATGTCACATTTGGCATCGTCGGTGCCGATCCAAACACCTTCAGTTTAGCTGTGGTTTAATTTAGCTCCTGATGCTAATTCATATAGGTTTAGGTGGTTTGTTAGAACATCCATTTCCTGTTGGTTTTTATTATAACAGTAACATCGTCTGCAGGCGATGGCAGTTATTTTGGGCGCATGGCCAACTGGTGTTCCTGATATGAACCTGTCATTGTTTGTTATTTTAATGAATGGACTTATGGCTAGCACGTACAGAGCTGTGCTTAGAGGGAACCCCTGCTGCTTAACCCCTCTCTCAACATTGAATACATTTGTTAACACAACGTTTACATTTACACAGACATAAGATTTAAAATACAGACACTTAATCATGTTTATGAAGGCTTCAGGAAATCCGTAGGCCTTCATCACCGACCATAAGTAATCCCTGGATAAATAGTGGAAGGCTTTCTTTTGATCAAGTCCAATAATTAAAAAAACTTTCTTCCTCCGGTCTTGCCTCTTCCTGACATTTTCTGTTTAGGTTAGCAGAAAACAATACTTCCTCATCGATTGGTGGTGGTCTATAGAGTGAACATCTGGCCGCTGATTGGTCAGGTCGAGTGGTACTACCATCGACCAATCAGAGAAGCGTTAGTCCATTCACTGTGTCAAGTACAAAAGACCTCACATAATTAAATCATCGAATAACATATACTATAAAATAGATCTGACTATACACATATACTCAAACAATATAGTGTATTCTTAGAGAAATATTTTAAAATAAAGTATACTTAAAGGATCAAAGTGAAGCACACTATAAGATAGTTTGGCATGCTGAAGTGACAAAACAAATGACCAATGTGACCATTAAAGTATATCCAATATAATCTAATTATTAAACATACAAAATAAGTAAAATAATGTATTTATTATCAAAATCAGGAGCTAATCCGATCTCCTCAAGTACAAGTGAATTAATGTGTAATAATAGTCACAATTATATGTAGCATTAAATACGTTTCGATGTACATTTATATGAAGTTATATAGGCCTACCAAAATATTTACATAGGGTTTATACACTATCAAGTATATGGGAAAATATGTATGTTGTGAGTGACTGTCAGAGGAGCCTTCTGTGAAGTGAATGTCTACTAATATAGCAACATAATAGAATGTGTTGTAAAATTAACTAACTTATACGATAATGATAAATAACCACAATATCTTCTGGTTTTGCAAATAAATATGCAGCAGACTTTAACAAACTTGTATTTATGCTAAATTAAATATTAAAACGGGAGAGTGCTCTTTCGGTGTATGTGGGTGGCTCTTAAAAGAGCCTTTTGGAGATGAAGTAGAGGATCTGTTTACTTCCTCGATGATTTCCTGGCTGGTGCCTTCTTCGCTGCTTTGGCAGCTGGTTTAACCGCCTTCTTCACAGCTTTCTTGGGGGTTACTGTCTTCTTGGGGGTCGCTGCCTTCTTGGGGGTCGCTGCCTTCTTGGGTGCTGCCTTCTTGGCCGCCACCTTCTTCTTCGGGCTCTTAGTGATCTGCTTCACGGGGGTTTTCTTGGCAGCAGTAGCAGGCTTCTTCGCTACCTTCTTGGGAGTTACTGCCTTCTTGGCAGCTGGCTTCTTAGCGGCGGGTTTCTTCGCTGCTGCTGCCGGCTTCTTGGCTTTGGCTGCGGGCTTCTTCGCTGCCTTCTTGGGCTTCTCGGCGGCCTTGGCTGCCTTGAAGGAGCCGCTGGCTCCGATTCCCTTGACCTGCACCAGGGCTCCATTCTCGAGTAACCTCTTCACGGCGCGTTTAATGTGAGCGGTGTGTTCGTAGCCCTGAGCGGCCAGCGCCTTCTTCACCGCGATGTAAGAGATCCCTTTACGGTCCTTGGAGGCGGTGACCGCCTTCAAGATGAGCTCAGCGGCTGCGGGACCAACCTTCTTGGCCGGCTTGGCTGCCTTCTTCTTCGGGGACTTGGCTGGTGCCTTTGCCGGGGCGGCGGCGGCGGAGACTTCAGTGGGAGCTTCTTCTGTGGCCATGATGCTGTCAGGAGGATTCTCGGTCTGATGAGACGGAGAGAGAAATCCCAGCGAAGAGAGGAACTTAAACTCACCATGAGAACCGTAGAGACTCAACTCAGTGGCTCACACAGGAGCTGCAGAAAAACTGTGCCACTTTGTGCTTTCTCTTCAGATAAAACTGTACAAAATACACATTTAGAGAACGAGTTGAATTTCAAAGGTTAATCGAATTGATAGCGGATTGCTTTATCTTCATATAGAAGCGAAATAAAGCTTTAAATATTGTTGTGTTTTCATTGGGAAGCCTTTAAACCTCCTAAAACTACTGCTGTCTGAAGGACTAATCTGCGACTTTTCTCTGTAATCTCTCTCTTAAAGGATTTAAAATACATTATAATCCCCCTAAAACTTGTAATATAGTGAAATGAAATGTTGGATTAAAGACTCAATATGAAAGAATTCCACATTTTTCAACCCTTTTTTGTTAAACGGAGGTAATTCTGCAGTCTGCAAACACACTCCCATCAGGACAGGCACTGGCTGTGTTTTAAATACAGTCTTTGTTACTCAACAGTGAGAGACCTTCATTTAGCACAGCTTTTCTCATGTACATCACAATACAACTATATTTATATAGTATGAGTATTATCATATATTTTTACATTCTGAAATGTGTTAGACAGATAGATCTAAACCTGTAAGGTCACAAAGGCTCTCAAACAGACACAAACTCTTGGTAGCAGAACTCCCACTGACTGTGAACATCAGACAAGTATTATCACTTTAGTAATTGTAGAAAATCAGAGAAACAGAAGCTTAAGTGAAGGAATTAGAACCATACACCAGCACAAAGGCTTGGAATTAGCTATGAAAATATATTATTCATTAACACTAGACTGTTAAATCTCAATGTAATCCCAAATGGATTATTATAATCTCAAATAATGTCCTAAGATTAAAGGAAATTAAAGTTCAGATAAAACAGGAGGAACGTGCTCTCTTTCTCTGGCTTTTGTTTAAAGCCTGGCGGCAGAGTTCTGGATGAGTTGAAGCTTTTCTATTGAGTTTTCTGGAAGACCAGCGAAGAGTGCATTACATTAGTCCAACTTACTTGCTATGAATGCATGCATGAGCTTGTCAGCCTCTGGTCGGTTTTAAAAATGAGCGTTCTTTGCTAATATTTCTTAGGTGAAAGAAGCCCGTCTTAGTCACCCTGCTTATATGATCTGCTCCTAGCCGCAGACTCAGGTAGCCCAGCTGTCCTGGTGCTGTTAGACCTGACAGCTGCCTTCGACACTGTGGACCATAGCATCCTGTTGTCACGGCTTGAACAGTCCGCAGGCATCACAGAAAAAACGTCCTCACCCTCAACGAGAGCAAGACTGAGGTCATCTTTTTTGGACCCCGACCTCCAGCCTCTCCGGTTGATATTCTGGGCTCTCTCAATAAAAACATCCTCCCCTCTGTCATGAACCTTGGAGTGACCTTCAATAGTGCTTTTAAATTTGATAAGCAGGTCAGCACCTTAGTTAAGACCTGCTTTTTTAAAATACGACTATTGGCCAAAACCAAGTCGTTTGTATCTTTTAAAGACCTAGAAAGGGTTATTAACGCCTTTGTTACCTCAAGACTGGATTACTGCAACGCTCTGTATGTGGGTATGGACCAGGCCTCAATTAGACGCATGCAGCTAGTGCAGAAAGCAGCTGCACGTCTTCTCACTGGCCATAAAAAGCGGGACCACATCATCCCAACTCTGGCCTCACTGCACTGGCTTCCAGTTCGGTTCAGAATTGATTTTAAACTCCTTTTATTTGTTTTCAAAGCCCTACATGGGCTGGCCCGGCCTATGTAGCCGAACTCCTCCAGCGCTACACCCCAGGCAGAGCCTTAAGGTCGGCTGACCAGCTGCTGCTGGTAGTGCCTAAGACCAGGCTCAAACCCCTAGGGCACTGAGCCTTCGCAGCAAATGGCCCCAGGCTCTGGAACACTCTGTCCCTCCATGTGAGGTCGGCCCAGACCCTGGGGGTTTTTAAATCTACTCTTAAAACACACTTCTTCTCCCTGGCCTTCTAGTCAGAGCGGAGCACGACTCCTGACTTTTCCCTGTGTTTTTTATATCTGTTGTAATTTATTGTCTTTTATTGTGATTGTAGTAATGTGTTTTTATTACATGTACAGCCCTTTGGCTCGACCAAAAATCACTTTTAAATGTGCTTTATAAATAAAACCTGATTTGATTTATATGAGGTATACAATTGAAGCCTGAATCTAACTTCTTTATATACTTTAAATATTGATGAAGAAGGCATGCATCAGTACTAGCCTTTATTATGGCAGAAAATGACATGGTGTTTTACCTGCAGAAGGCAAAGAATACCAGGATGTTGTACTGCATCTGGTTGTATTGTGTAGCATCATTTTTGGGGATCTTCTGTCCCTCAATTCTTTGCATGTATACATTTGAGAAAGAGGGTCAACTTTGCAATTGTTCTTCTACATATCCATACTACATATGTACTGTAGGAGGAGACCTGAATCTAAAATGTATTCCCACATTGGGAGCACCAGGAAAAAAGAGAGCAATCTCTGAACTTAGAGAAGTACATACTGTGGAAGCTAAACCCAACAACAAATATATTATTTGTTTAATGTTCAAAATGGGTGTTGCAACATGCTCACATGAAAGCTACAAGGGACAAGGAATCAGATCATGCCACAGATCACATCAAATATATAAGGAATATATGAGAAAGCATTGCAAACTGTTTAGATGTAATGTTTAATTTGTGTTAATGTTATCTTTTAGACGCTTCATAACATGTCATTTGAAACAACGAGTTATTTTCCGGTTCAACTGAGACAACAAAATACAGTCCCATTGAACTATAAGTGCAAAGAGCTGTAAAGAGCAGAGTAAGCCATGTGGGAAAGGACCAGTGGGGGCGGCAGATTCAACATTCAAAGGCTTTATTGCCATATGCACAGGAGCTACAGTGTACACATGGCATGACAATCTGAAATCCCAGGCTCCTCCAACAATGAAACATATTTAGGACAAACAAGAATAAGACTGATTAAAAAAAACACAATTAAAATAGTGCAAAAAGAAACAGTAGAATGGATTAGAATAAAATAGTGTTTTTATGTTGCTAGACAAATGTGAGATGAAGTAAACTGTATACATGAATAATTATAATAATAAAACATAAATAATAATGAATACAATAATCTCAATAATGCAGATTGTTATAAGTGACCAAGTAAAGGAAAGAGTCTATACAGATAAGATGGACACAAACAGAATCAGATATTGTTTATTGTGGTGATATTGATTTGGACTCAGGCATCAAGCCTGGAGGAGGCTCTGTTTCAAGACCCGGACCACCCAATTACGGGTGTGTTCAAGTTGGTGCTCACAAGATTCATGTGAGAAGTATTTAAAGGCAAAAAACTAAAACATACATAGATGAAGTTATTTTAAAAGGTTTTCAGGTTATGTGTCGGCTAAATACAGAAAAGTATACATCTTCTCGTCCTGCAATGTCTCTTATTTCTAATGTTATTTTAACATTTCTGAATAAAAACAATGTATTGTGGTGAAACTGCTGGTCATTCATCGTGACCTTGAGAATATGTGATAAACAGTCAGAAGATAATGCTTTATTTTAAGAGTATGCAGAATACAAATACATGAGTATATATCAAGTATATTGAGTTATCAACTAAAATGTTTCCGTAGTGACCATTTTTGGTAGAGGAAGAAGATTCCAACAGTCTGAACATACGATATAAAAATGTAGTTATTTTACGATGTGTGTAATTTAGATATGGAACAAAATATATATGGACAAAGTTTTGGGGAAAAAACACAATTTCAAAACATTTCCAACCTGACTTTGGTACATTTCGGTAGAATGGCCCATAGACATATATCTCAGGACTAGTAATTATATGAACATGTTTAAAGAACAACATGATGTATTCAGTTACGTTGTGTTGGAATGAGCTTTATCTAAAAACACCACTAGATGTCGGAGTCTAGCCATAAATGAGAGCCTGCATTACAACCCAGTGATAGTTGCAATATGGATCAGCATTATATACTATCTTATCATAATGTGTTACTGTGGACCATGCTTTAATAATGAAAGGGGGACAATGTGTTTATAAAGTATTTACACACATGTGTTTCAGGACGGGTTGCTCTGTAAGTGTGTGTGTGTGGCTCTTAAAAGAGCCGTTGTGTTTCGGTGTGCTGGTCTCAGGTCAGTCTAAGCCCTCTCTCCGCGGATGCGGCGGGCCAGCTGGATGTCCTTGGGCATGATGGTGACCCTCTTGGCGTGGATGGCGCACAGGTTGGTGTCCTCGAACAGGCCGACCAGGTAGGCCTCGCTGGACTCCTGCAGAGCCATGACGGCGGAGCTCTGGAAGCGCAGGTCGGTCTTGAAGTCCTGAGCGATCTCCCTCACCAGGCGCTGGAAGGGCAGCTTGCGGATCAGCAGCTCGGTGGACTTCTGGTAGCGGCGGATCTCCCTCAGAGCCACGGTACCGGGCCTGTAACGATGGGGCTTCTTCACGCCGCCGGTGGCCGGGGCGCTCTTACGAGCAGCCTTGGTGGCCAGCTGCTTCCTGGGAGCCTTTCCTCCGGTGGATTTACGGGCGGTCTGCTTGGTTCTTGCCATGGCTAGAGAGAGTCTGCTTCTCTGTTGGAAAGTAGTAACGTGGAAGACTTGTCTGTGTCTCTTATATAGCCAGAGCAGGCACGGCAACGACGCTGATTGGTCAAATGTATACACGTGCCACTGCAGCTCAACTATTGGTTGGTAGCGATTGGAAAATTCAAATTTCGCGCTCATTTGTTAAACTGTTCTTATTATACATCCATGTGTGACATACAGCTTTTTTAACACTTTGTCTATGATACAAAAGTCCAGCAAAGATGAATGATGCACAAATTATTCTATACATTCATAAACTCTGAATTCTGCATATTGTAATGCATACATATGTTGATGTACATATTGCTATATTTATAATGTTATTTTAGCATTCTTAAAA